AAGTTAGCCTACGGGTTGCATAAGTGTACTCTGTGATAACACATGTGTTCAGGATGCATCGATCAACTTTAAAGTCATGATTACTTAGCCTTAAATCTGTAGCTGATGGCAAGTAAAATGCTCCAGTTTTTGTTTATCTCCAGCCCCTTCGGCTCTGTTTGATATTTATGGAAATTGTATGTAGATGAGCTCCTAACTGATAGCTTTGTAAGTCAATCCAATGAGCATCACTTTCAAAAAAAGCAGATGAAGGCTGATTGATTTGATGCAACTGAATCCAGCACAAAGGCACTCCGCTCCACTTCCTGCCACATTTTGATGGGCTGGCATGTTAGACGTGCCATGGCCACGGTGGGAATATAAAGCTCACAGAGACAGTCAACCTCTGCGACATCTTAAGAAGGTTGTGTGCAAGTATTTGAACATGTCTTTGCAGGCATCCAGTGCGTTAATAAATCAAACAAACAGCGATGTCCTTGCACGTTAAGTAAAAGCAATAAACCTGCCTACAACAAGTCACTGCAGAATAGGATCTACTCTGAAATAACTGCCATTTATTAAACATGATCTCCTCTTATAGCTCACCAAATGTATAGACAGAATGTAGATTTATAAACGCACACACATAAGTCAGGCATTGTCAGAAGGACTGCAGCAGTAGGCTGGTATGCATTAGCACTGTAGGCTGGTTGGAATGTGTTTGGCAGACAAGTGGCCTTGATGAGTCAAAGGGGAGACGTTAATTACTAGCTGCAAAAACGTAGCTGTTGTTGTTTTCGCCCTCTGAGTGCATGTGTGTCATGGTTCAAAAATGTAGTCCCCCAAGACACTGAAGAACCACCATAAAGCTGCTGGACAGGCGTTTGTCTGCCTGTTTGTGGACAAATGTTGTCACAGCTTCAGAACTACTTAAGATACAGTAGCAAAAGTTTAATTTCAACTTTTTTAACCCTTTGGAGTCAATGAACATGCTTGACTCCAAAGATGCAGCAGTCTCAGAGAGTCTCCGTTTCAACTTGTATTGAAAGTGCAGAGTTTAAACTATATTCCAGTTTAATCCCAACAGTTCAGTTATGTGGATTTTATTGACAGTTTGATATATTTAAGAAAATAGGTTGAAGCCAACAAAATAATCATGCTTATATTTTCTATGCTGTGTGGACACATTTTACTGTAAATGTCACAGAAGGGGTTTGGATTTTCTATGATGTCATACTGGTACCTTTAAACTATGTAAAATAATACCTAAAAAAGCTCAAATGTTCTGAATCACATTTAGTGTTATACTTTACATCACCTCAGTAGATATTTGAAGATTCAGGTGTTTGTTTTTCTTTGATATTGCAAAGCACCATTTTGCTAGCAATGGTTGATACTGACATGCCAAAGCGCAGGGTTAGGGTTATGATGGCGTAGACCTTAGAAGGTTAGCTATCAGTCATATGAAAGTGCATACTGCTAAATTATTATTAAATTATATAAAACTTTCAAACATCATTATTTATAAATTTATACATTGCTTTTTTCTTCATTTGTTTTTCAAAACTTAGTTGAGCTGATGGGTCCATGTAGCCTCCCGTTACTGCAAAAGTAACCCCTGGACTGTTTTAGAGGCAATGCTCACTCAGTTAAACTTAGTTATTTAAACACTTAACAATTGTTCGCCTCCTGGCAATAAAGAAAGATAACAAAAGCAAAATAGAAAACAACAGATTTACAGTGCATGGAAATTAAGGTTTCTATATAAAGTACAAGTTGTTTACACCTAAGCAATAATAAGTGAAGAAAAGAAAACACTCTGTAATATATATATATTCTTAAGTGAAACATAAACAGAGTATCTCACCTTCTTTATTTCAGAGCAGGTCATGACTTCATTGATCCACTGAATGGGGACAGGCAGCCTTCCATCTCATTCGAGCTAAGCACTGGGCTAAAAGTGCATTACATCCCAAATCATTTGATCTGCGTGACACAGCAGTTGTTGCCATACAAGTGTTAGGATCACTGTTGTTGTGTAGCTCAAAGACTGAGGTCTAAATATTTATTTTAATGAAATTAGATTACCTTAACGTATGGCACATTGTTGCTTGTGATTGGTGTCATCTTGGATGACTTGAATTACAGATTCAGAGCTTTTTTTTGGCAGCTAATACTCAGAGAAACTAGTGAAGTTGGCATGTAAATGTAGCTAATAATGAGATCCCAAGTGGCATTGTTTTCAGGCATCTTTTGTCTTAGTTAGTATTGCATGATTAATGTGTTGGATTTCGTCTTACAGGTTTAAAAAAGGAACTTTAAGGTTTTTGGTTTGATCTTTAGCAACTGTCTACAGGACTGCTTTGAAGGGACATTTGAATATTTCATAGCAAATTTTATACTTTTCAAATAAAAAGTCAAAGGAGATAATTTTGTTATTCTTAATGACATTCTTAAAGAAAATTATAACAATTTCTGGACCACAGATTAAATGCTCACTCTGCCGCTGAAAAGGTTTTCAACTGTAGGGTCAAAGGTATCGAATTTTTTTAGTCCACTGGACCAAAGAAGTAGTTATATAATTTCTAAGGAAGATAGGAGCACAGATATATTGATATGGGTGAAATTAGTAAGCATAAATGTAGCTCTATAGAATAGAGAAAATAATATTTAGACTTTGGAAATATCATGTAGGAATAGTGTTTAAAAAAAAAAACCTCTTTATTATAATTTTGAGATTTATTTGTTATGTGCTATGAAGCCCCACAAAGAATCATTTGATGCAGCAGGTTGTGGTTTGAGTCTACTGTATTATCCAAGGGGTCGATTGTTGCTATTACCGTCTATTGGTTATTGCTTCCATTTGCCACCATCACCAAGCTTGTTTTTGGGAGTTTCTGCTCAGCAATACTCACTGTTTTGCAGGATGCTTGGGAAGCATTGTTTTTATGTATTTTTTCTGTAGAGATTAGGGGAAGATGGTGATAAGTTAATTAAGCTAACTCTACGCCTTCACAGAGGAGGCAGACACATTGTAAAACAGAGAGTAAAGCAGAGCAGTAAAACCCTAGTGAAGACTCTCAAGACTCTCTGAGCTGAGATAAAACAAGTGCACTTAAGTTGGGTGATATATAAATACATTAATTAAATTTTTCTCTGTTATCAGTTTTTATGGGGGACTGAGTTGGCTGAATGCTTTGAACTGTGCTCCACCTTTCCACCTTTATTACCACTTTTCTCTTAAAACAAAACAAAACACAGGGACGGTTTAACAGCAGGGCTCCTGGTTTCAAATGGCGCTCACTGCAGAGCCAAATGGGTCTGTGTGGTTAGAGTTAGGGTGGGGATGGGGCTTGCCCTAGAGGTGGAACAAAGCCAATGTCATGTGCAGTGAGCAGCCTCTCGCTGAAGTAGCCTCTTTATAAATGTGACTTCACTATTTGCTAAGAGATCATTACTTTAGTAATTCATATCTGCATATCAAAGAGCCATGTGCTGCTGTATCAATATTCATAATCTCATTTATTGAACCTTTAAGAATACTGCAGTAACAATAATGACATCAGCCTCAGCTGTAGCTTGGGGTTGGTGCTAATTAGTATATAGTCTGCTAGAACATCAATCTAAGATGATTAACTTGGAAACATTAAAGCCTGCCATGTTGCTCTTGAGGATGCTCACTAGTTGACATTAGCTTTTAGCCAAAGCGTTATTATACTAATCAACAAGGATAAAATAAAATAAAATGATCCAATTTCTTCTTGCTGTGATATTGTGATCGACATTTTTCACAATTTTCAACATTTATACACCAATTATTAATTTATTGATTGGTAAGTGATGCCAACCTTAGCTAGTTAGTTTAGACTAAAAAAAATATTGTTGCTAACTTTGTTAAAAAATTGGAAACTGGAAAGTTGTAAAACTAATAAGAAACAGTTTTATTTAGATGCAGCAATCCACATCTTTCACCCTTGTACACGCACTTCTGCTCTCCATGCTGACAAATGTAAGGAAATATAAAAAATAAATAACTAACAAGAGGAAGCAAAAATGACTCAGTGAACTAATTATGCACGTCATGCTAAGACTGTAAGCATCCAGGTGACTCAGGCATTAATCATCATTCGCTTTGTCACATAACTGGCATGCACAAAGCTGCTGCCACAGTGTCATCCTGGGATGACTACAGATGCATCTAATTTGCTGTCTGTGTATAAATTCTGCTCCGCTTCGCCATAACACTATTTTTTTCCTCCATCCGAGTGTGATGGAGCAGATAAAATCAGATCCCCAAACATTTTCCATTTTATGAAAACTGTTACAAATGGAATTTGATTAACTTTGCATGAATCTCCTGCTACACTCTTTTTCTTTTTTCTTTGTTACATCCAATTTTAAAAGTCACTCAGCTCGCTGTGAGAGAAACTGCTTGTCAGGTAATGAAGACACAGTTAGTCATCGATGGCCACCCACAGTCTCTTCCAATCCCAAAGCTATGATGAGATGCAGCATCGCTGACACTGCTGGTGCTCCTGGTCAATACCCTGCATGCACAGTGGTGTTCATTAGGACTTTGTTATGAATTTCACCATCGATATTACATCGACTTGAACTAATGAACAACTTTCTCACCAAGATGCTTACAATTACATTCTGCCTGCCTGAAAGCTCTTCCGTGTCACAAATGTGTTTGATTTCCGCTTTGATTTGTCCTCATTTATCTGAATTTTTTTTGATTTCCCAGAATTATCGTTTAGTAAACAATAGAGTTAGATACAGCACAAGCATCCAATTTCCCAGAAATGAATGAGAACACCATTAGTTATAATAGTGCCACATAGCGCTCAGTGAATGATGTTGCCGAATTAATTTTTCTCTTCAAGTATTTATAATGTTTGTTCAGAAATCCATGAGCTAGAAACAATAGTGTATGCATGAGCATATGTGTGTTAGGGAGGAAATGTTACAGACACAAAAATAATTAAGAATCGTATTTTCTGAATTCTGTTCTCTCCCAGAGCAGCACTGAACGATCTCGGACAACCACAGAACGAGTGCTGGCCTTCGCTTGACTGTGTGACCAGCGAATGAGCCTTGTTCATGCGTCTCCCTGAGTGCCACTCCCACATCACCATGAACTGTGAGCAGGACTTTGGCGACGGGGGCTTGGGAGTGACCCTCACACTACGACTGCTCATGCATGGAAAGGTTGTTTATGAATGAATGCGCGCATGCTTCAGCACTCAAGGCATTTTCAAGCACAAGATTTGTCACAGCCTCACACATCACAGTCATGTGAAAAATAAAAAGCTTTCACGGGATTATGTGATAGGCAGGCCTGCGAAAAACTAAGCACACCCTCACTGTTTCCACCGGAATTAAGAGAGCAAACAGCAGCCAGGCACTGATAATCAAATGCATTTGATTAATTGATTATGACAAAGAGTGAGCACCTCTGTAAAAGCACAAGTTCTGGCAGCTTGCTGGCCTCCAGGATTCAGCTGCGTGTTAACACAATACCACAGTCTTTACAGGAGTGGGCATCCCAGCAAATTCACCCTAAAGTCAGACCGTACGATGCTTAGAAAAAACTCCAAGCCACATGTGTCAAGAACCAAACAAAGCCTATGAGCACAAACATGATGAACGGGTCCTGCAGTCACAGTCACTGACAGTCAAGATGGTTTCAAAGAGTGAAACAAAGGCCGTTAAAGCTTGGCCGAAAAGGGGTCACAATGAAATGGCTGGGGAAAAATCAAGGTGTTTCAATGAAAATAATGCCAAAAATAAACAAATAAAGTCACACAGAAAACGATTACTTTAAGTTATTGCTGCTAAAGGCGATTCTACAAGGTACTGAACGATGGGGTGCACTTAGTTTTTCACAGGTGCACATAGAGTCCTGTGAAAATGTTCTTTTTCATAATCATACATGCTAAAAATAAACAGTTACTATGAGGGTGATCAGTTTTTCCCTTTTCCCTGTTTTCTATTTATGCTCTATCATCTTCATCTCTTTGCATTCAGGAGGTTGGCAGCATCATAGGAAAGGTGAGAATTCCTATTTTTAATTCTACTCGTAAACATACATGCATATATAAAGGTAATAAACATTAAAAAACAATGATTTAAAATATATGGGTGATGTTTTGCTCTTATATAACTCAGTAGCCATTTTCCATCATTCAAAGCATCTGCAGAATAATTTCCCTCTGCCTTGATTTTGTTTTGAATCACCAGAACACAAAGCTCTGTAACAAAGACTTGCTGTTCTGAATATTAGCATCCTAAATGTAATTGTCTTCAACCAACCCTCTTAAGACCTCCCCCACCTTTCACAAAGCACCACAGTAATCCATCAAACAAAAACATTAGAGCACCGACTGCAAGCCTCCTGTTGAAACTGAGCTCCAAAGACATACTGCATTACAGTTGGCCCCTTGTGGGCACTTTTAGTGTCTGCTAGGAAATGCCTATTGAGACTGTGTTGCTTCAGTAGCCCCTACTATCGAGCCTTCTGCACCTACAAAAGGCATCACAATGGATGAAAGAAGAAAAATAGAGGAATATAGAAAACTGTGAAGTGCTGGAAAGAATGATTTTGCAATGGATGTGGACAACAGAAAATGTAAAAAAGGAAGCGGGTGAAAGCGTTCGAGTATGGGGCATACTGTGCAGCTCGACAGAGTGGGAGGCACTTTGTCTGAAGTACTCGAGCTAATAAGTTGTCTAAATAATAACTGCTCCACCCTCCAGCCTTTTTTTCCCTTCCTATCTCTTTGGGAAAACCGCTCATCCTTTTCCCATCAATAGAACACCAGCAGCACAGTCACAATAGACTCCAAGTAATACGTTTCCCGAGATCATAAACCACAGTGTTTGCCGAGGTGTGAGATGACATTGCTTTTGGTACTGGTGAAAGAAAGTGGTCGTCAGCTGCTGCACGAAAGTGTGAACAGAGGTATGACAGGTTGGATGAAGTTGAGCCAGAATAAAATAGCAGAGTGGAGACGAAGCAATCAAAAAATCAGCGGACGATGTGCTGCAGTGTGACACAAGTCTGACAAAATGTTATTGTCGCTGGCAGGAGTTCTTCACACGTGCTGTGAGCACAGCCGTTACGGCAGGTGTACATTTCCTTCATATGCTCAGATGCTGTATATTTGATATGTTTTTGCAAAGTTAGTGCAAATGACAACATCGCTGCATACACTGCAGACTGAAGCCTTATCGATGCTTTTTCTTTTCTGAGCAATTTCCATCTAACGTGGTTAGAAATGGCAGATTTTGCCTAACAATGTGTTGTAACTGTTTGGTGAACTGAAGCACATTTGCATCTGTTTAAAGCTGTCCTTCGTTTTGTCTTTTTTCAGAAAGGAGAGACTGTGAAACGAATACGGGAAGAGGTACAGTGTCCATGATTTCGATCACCATTCCGACACCATTCAATAGAATTGTTTAGCATTCTGCTTTGTTAATTATTATGTTTTTGTGTCATTTGAGACTAGTGAATGCAGCTTCTCTGATGTGACTAGCTGTTACCCTGCACCACTTTGTCCCTATCTTTTACATCAAGACATGAAGCCACTCGATCTCTGTTATTTTAGGCCCTCAGTATGTTCATCTCCAGAGAAAACATAATTTAATCTCAAGAGGCTGTCTAATACTGGTCAGGCTTTCTGGCAGTTGCATGTAATAATAATACAGCTCAGTTCTCTCTTCTTGTTTTGGAGGTTCGAGTCTGAAAAGCATACAGAACAGGTGCATTGTCCGAATTGCCTTTTGGACAATAACAGCACCTTTTCAATTTAAGTCCTCCCTCTCTTCTCTTCACTGCACCTCATCTAGCTGCTCTCTCTCTCAATTTTCTTTTCTATTTCTTTTTCCTGCTTAAAACAACTTCCTTTTTTCTATGTCTGCTCCTCGATTCCCTCTTTATAAATCTCAAGGGTGCAGCCAAACTAATGCGGCTTGGATAACTCTTTGTATTAGAAAGTAATTAGGCTGACACTTTACAGCACATTTGATTCTTTCTCTTGCTGCTAAGGTTTTATGTCGTACTTTATGAGGCATACGGATAAACAGAAGAATAGTGAGGTCATGGGACAAGGGACAAACCTCTCACTAGTGGTAGTCATCCATTCATCCATCCATCTAGCTTGGCAGTTCTGGCCTTTTGTTACTTCCCAATTATATGAGCCTCATCCTGTCAGTCCTCACTGGGCCTTACAGTCACAGTGGGGGGAATGAGTCAGTGGGCTGACTGGAGAAAATGTCCCAGAGGTCAGAACACAGTCCTGTGTCCGCTCATGTGACTTTACCCAGAAATGCCAGCATACAAAATGGAAGAAGACGAGGGCAGAAACAGCGTCACCTTCTCATGTCAATGTTATGTCATTATCACTCTACTTTCTCTAAAATTATGAGCTGTACTGCCACTTTAGAACAGACCAAGAAGAACAAGCTGAAATTTGGGGAAATGTGTATCATATTTTTAGTTGTCAAGAGGAAGAAAAGAGGAAGGATATGTTATTTGTGTTTGTATGTTAACTATGGGGATACAGCAACCAAAGGTAAAAAGTTCAGCATTTTTTACACTTTATGTTATGTATTACATAAATGGGACACAGTGTGCTAAAGGCATCCGCTAGACCAGCTCTATCTTCCCTGTTTCCAATAAATTTGTGTGAAGATTAGCGTCAAAAAGTGGAAATGGGGCAATCACTGAAGTGTCTCCAGGCTGTCCAAAAAGCTGAAACAGGCCTGATCCTCTTTACAAGTTACACTACGCTAAGTTAGTATGCTAAGTATATAACCTTAAATATAGCATCACACCTCCAACTGTTATACAGAAAAAATGCAAAAGGACTTATTTTCCAACTATTCCTTTACTGAAATTTAAATAACCTGTTGACTTCTGGTTCAACAGAGCAGCGCACGAGTCAACATTTCAGAAGGATCCTGTCCTGAAAGGATCATCACCATCACGGGCTCCACAGACAGCGTCTTCAGAGCTTTTACCATGATCACATACAAACTGGAGGAGGTATTTTTACTTCACTTTTATTTATATACTGCTGAGTTATAGCAATCATTTTCTTAAGGAGTTTTAGTATATAATATATTACAAGTGAGCAAGCTGTTGGCAAAACAGGAAGAAACCTCTGGGAGAACCACTCAAAGGGACAGCCATAACTGGTTGGAGTGAGGGCAATGAAACGATTTGAAGAAGAGCAAAGAGAAAAAACAAAAAACTGGACAACACATAAACTACGGGAGAGAGAAGACAAAGTTATGATATGCAGTTGCAGCTTATAGACACAGGGAGTGAAACGAAGGGAGAGGAGGGGAATCTTCAGTGCATCATGGGAAGTCTCCCAGCAGTCTTAGCAGCAGAGAGTTTTACAGACAATGAGCCTGCTCTCTGACAGCCAAGTGCTCTGTTGGGGTAATACAGCACTATGTATATATTAAGAGGTTTGTAAGCTAAAATGAGGCCTGTTATTCATTGCTGTGACACTCAGATGAAATGAGTTCATGTATTTATTTTACAATAGTTGCATACATATGAAGGTTTGTCATGTAGGAGACCAACCTGAAATCAGAAAATGTGTGCAGTTTGCCTTTTGAAGTTGTCTAATTCTTAGTGAAGCCATAACATCTTGTTTGCTGAACCTGGAAAAAGTGAAAGAAGCCATTTTGCTACATTAGTACAAGAAATCATTTCCTGTGCTTCATCTCTGCTTTACCACTAATGTGCTTTTATCGCTATTGATTATACTCTAAACTGCAGTGATGGAAGGGGAAAAAAAACTGACTATATTGCATAGCTCTTGATGTGCTTTCATATTAGATTACTCTGCAGATGAAAATCTTGAATAGGTGGATGTAACTGCTGTTGCGAAACCATTCAGACCTTTGCAAGAATGTCATTATAAATGACGTGCAGCAAGCTTTTGGATTACATCTATCATTTTTATTTCTTTCCTGTTATTTTCTTTATGCTTTTCTGGAGTGCTATGAACCGTCCGGGTACTAAAAGAGGAAAATGTTACTAATTTGTACTCATTAATGAGAATGTGTCGTACACTTCTCGTCATCTATAGGTGAATTACGGCAGTTTCTTCATGCTATTAATCCCCAAGGTGGCTGTCTATCACAGTGCTAATTAATATGGTGGAATGAGAGCCGCCTTCGCTGTGATTTAGCGTCGCAGCAGATACGAGCAACGGAACAGGTGCTCTCTGCTCAGGTCGGCAGCCTTCAGTAAACACACTCTGGCTGGGAGCACAGTGCAGTATTCATTAAAGATCTTTCACACTCACCCTGAAACGCCTGAGTTTCCATGGCAACATGTTGGCTGACCCACTGTGCACTGCTTCCACCATAGCTGAGTTATTGTATGTCTGACACTTTTAATTAAAACCAAAGGGAAATAGTATAAATTTGGGGCACTGACTATTAGTATACGCTTTTGTTTCTGTCTCAACAGTTTGTGATTACAGAGCGGCTCGACCTCACTCATTTCCAGTTTGGCTGTTGATCAGTTGTGTGAGTTTTATGCTCACGTGATTTATAGCTCATGTTTTCCCCAGCTGCTGCCACATTTATGCAAATGCAGTGATCTAATGATCAGGAAATTCGCTACACTTTCATACATGTAATTTGTTTTCAGGTGTTGAAGCACAGCATGCATAAAAGCCACATAATCTCTCTGTATTAGAGCCCTTACCCCACCAGCAGCACAATATGCTTTGGGGATTTAAGCTGAGGAACCCCTTGTGTGAGCAGCGCTTGTATAACCAGCCATCTTAATTCCACCAATTTTGCTTTAAGAGTCTCTCTTCTCTATGGAAAGTATCAAAACGTTCACACTTGTTAAGATGTGGCTCGTATTTTTAGATCAAATCAAGAGAATGACGCCGAGAGTCTTGTGATTGTACAGATGAGCCGTGTGTGCATCTTCTAATGAGACGAGACGTCAGAGAGCCCGATCTGCCTTGATAAATATAGACGCGGAGCAGAGATTCACAAGAGGCACACCAGAATATGCTTTTCAAATTTTAAAGTTGAGCGATATTAGACATATTATACAGTTTCCTTCATGAGTAAAATCCCATAAGGCTACACACACATGCTGTCCCCTTTTGCGGCAAACTCTGCTGATTTTACAGACTGGCCCGAGTGCAAACCATTCAAGTCGAGCTGCATGTTTTGCATTCTGTCAGAATTGCTGTTGGTTGAACTCTGATGGGAAGCATATTTACATTTCAAAGCTTCACAGAGAGACACTGTTCATTAATTAAAACCTCGATCTCCACCCACAGCAGATCAGATGGATGTTTTGCTACCTGCACTATAAAAACACTCATCAACTCAGTCTCAAAATCCAGTTTCTGCTCAGTTTCAAAGCAGCGTATGTTGATAAGAAAGGCATATTAACGCATTTACTCTAAAAGTTTGAATGTTTAACTTTGGCTAAGGCTTGTTGTTCAGGTGATATTGTTTCCTTAAGGAAACAACTGAGCTGTCATCTACAGCAAGGAAAGGAAATGGGGATGAATGGAAGAAAAAAACATTTTTTGCAAGACCAGATTTTGGGTTATTGCCTCAAAATTTCAAGTTATTAACTCAAAATGTTAAAATAATAACCTGAACTATGTTCAGTGAAGTCCTGAGGTAAATAAGGATATTTCTCAAGGAATCATAGATTTATTTTAAAAAATGTATTTTAAAACATGAGCTTCAAGAATGCTAACTGAACAAAAAAAAAAGAAAAACATATCCTCACATTACATTTCCCTTAAACATGGAGCCTTTTATTAAATCTACAAAAGAAAAATACTTTTTCATGCCTAATCTAACGATTTAACTCCAGGACTTTGCTCCACCCCAATACAGGAACATAGAGACGCAGAGACGGAGGTTAATAAGGTGCAGATGATGGATTGCTCTTTACTCTATCTGCCTCATACCTGACACTTCCTGTGTGGATCCCACTGGCTTTTTCTGTTGTTGGATTCCTGTTGATGCAGCAGTAATTACGTTTGGCTGCACTATAACTGGTCCAGCCCAAACCATGATTATATTGTCTGCACTGGTGTCATAGTTTTAGACGGGGATGTAATGCTAATGATGCTATGAATCCAAAACTGACTGGTAAAATGAGCTGCGTTCAGTCTCTGTCTACCTTGACCCACACTCTTAGATCCTCTCTTCCTTCTTGTGCTTTATTGTTGACTCTCAAAACCATTTTTGCTATTTTTCTAAATCTCCCTCCAGGACTTAACTGCACTGGTGGCCAACGGCACCATCAGCTCCAAGCCACCGGTTACCCTCCGGCTGGTCATCCCTGCCAGCCAGTGTGGCTCCCTCATCGGGAAGGGAGGGGCCAAGATAAAGGAGATCAGGGAGGTGAGCACCCAGAACACAAATCCAGTCCATGCTCCATGCCCACACTTCACAGAAAGGTTCATATTTGAAATATTGACAGAATGAATCTCCTAGAAAAGAAGCTGTACCTAGAAGGGAGTGATATGTTTTTCTAGATTTTTTTTCTGGTTTTCAGCAGGCTGCATAATTGCCCACATGCATTTTATATAGTAGAAACTCTCATTTAGAATTGCTGCATTTACAGTTCAAGTATGCTACTTCAATAAGAACAGATATTTATCCTGTGTGTGTAATTAGCTGCAACTAGTGATAACAGGTTGGCATATTTAATGAAAAAAACATTATAGTTGGAATTTCTATTTTATCTATTTTCTGCTAATTAGCAATAAACACAGAGCAACTGAGGCTGATAAGAATCTGAGGACCTGTCAGGCAAAGGCAAACAGCCAAAAGCTATAAATTATTGGCAAAAAATTTGATCTGTTTCTTAACATTTTTTAAATAATTGTTTCTGCTACTTTATCATTTTCTTAAATAAGGTGTAAAAATTTGTGGCGTTTTCACAAATAATAAATTAGAATGGTTGTTACACTTCACAGCTGTTGCAGTTCACACAATAAACTTATTTTCTTTATTTTTGTATGCCGATAAATTTTAAATAACACAGTGTGGATATCATCTTGGAAAAGTAATGTATTTCTCAATCTGACATATAATTGAGTAAAACATATCAAAATGTCTCTCTTTCATGCATATTAATGTGTTGTGTATAAGCCACATGATGTAAAAATTCAGGCATACCATGCATATGATATTATGCCTGCAGTAATATCATATGCATGGTATATGTTGAAGTTATAAATAATTCAGTGTGGTAAAGAAATTGTTATTTGCTGGACACTAGTTTTTATGAAAAGTCTACAACTTCAGACAAATTATTGTAGTCGATTATTTCCAGTTACAGTTTTCATACATGTATTCATAAAAGGTATGTTCAGGTATTACAAAAAAATCCTCAAAAAAAAAAGAAAGTTTTGTTTTTTACGTAAAAGCTAAAAAAGCATTAAATATGTAGCATTTCTAAACTGTTATCAGAGGAATTGCAAATGTGTTTCATCTTGATTTGGAGGGTAATTGCATTCATATGTCAAATAAACAGCAATTTATATTCAGTTATTAACGACGAACACCTATGTTAACTTCACTGTGAGGATCAATTTGATATCATGAACACCAACTCAGAGAAAATGATATTCGTTACTGAAAACATGAACCCCGTTTTGCCATTTGAATGTAGCCGACCCAGTTAGTTTTATTTGTATTCGATCATAAAACATAATATTAGAGATATGAAATGTTCACCTTAAAATGTTCTGTGAAAACGGAGGAAGTCACCAAAGTGAAATTTTTTCTGTAGTTTAATAGCAACGCATCTGATAGCTCTTGGTGCGTTTCACCTAAAAACACAAGTGAACACTGTTAATATGAACTATTTACTTTTCGGGTTGTGAAGTTTGTCCATAAGTGCAGAAAATTGATGAAACAGTCAAGCCCAGATATATTTACTTAACACGTCATAGGCCGTGACTCAGCAGTGACAACAGGAAAAACTCCTGACTGCATTCAGGCCCAGTTGAAACGTTAGGATTAAACGTATCAGATCCATTGCCAGAGACATCTGACTCCTTAACTGTAGCTCTGTACCAATCTACAAATAGAATGTCGCTCATTTTAGCTTAACCTTCCCCAGTAATGGCATCCAGGTGATTTTCTGCGGTTAGATGGATTCCGCTGTCTTGTTCATCTCCTAAACTTGTTTCTGTTGTTTTGTTTGGTTGCCACAGGACCCATCAGTTACAAAGACAATGGTGATTTGTGTGTTTCAACGATCGCCTCCAGAAATAGGTCGATATCAGCAAGTGTAGATAAAGCTTAAAAAGTTTTAACTCAACCGGCACTCTTTGCCGTCAGGCATGCTGTATTAGTGATACATCAGCTACAATTAGGAGTGTGGCATCTTGTAATTGTAGAAGTGGATGTTTTTTTTTTGTCGCGATTTGACGTTTAGCACGCCACAGTGCAGCTGGTTTTCAGTAGGGGTGGAGAAATATAATGTCAGCAAATCCAGCTCAGAAGGGGACAAAAAGAAGCTGTGGCAGTGTAATCGCAACTCACCTTATCTTTAGGATCAACCTATGTTTTTTTCTAAAAACCCTATCATTTGCAGAGCACCGGAGCTCAGATACAGGTGGCAGGGGATTTGCTACCCAACTCAACTGAGCGAGGTGTGACGATATCTGGGAATCAGGACTCGGTAATCCAGTGTGTCAAGCTCATCTGCACAGTAATCCTGGAGGTAGGAAGTATACCATTCCTCTCTTTCCTCCATGCACCCACACCTTGCTGATATTTTGTCATTGCGCTGCTCCTGCAGCTCACATGCATGCTTTTATTTCATCAGCATGTCTGTTATTGTCTGTTTCACTGGAGCAGAAATGAATGCCTTTTTAAGCAGGGTAAATCCTTAAATGCAGCACCTTCTGTAATTCGCCTCGCAAGACATTGGATAAAGTCGAAAGGTGCCTCTCTCAGGTCAGAGGACAGCGTTCTCGCAGGGGGCACTAGTCAGCTAACAGAAAACTAACAGGCCTGCAGCGAAATCTGTCCACCTTTAGACAACAGCTCTCTTGAGAAAACCGAGGAGGAGATGAGAGGAAAACAACCCCAAGCACAGTTTCGCCCTGTGTGTTCATGGGAGTGCACAAGTCCTTTTTGTTTTAGCATCGCAGCTGGACCTGACTGACTAATTGCTAGTTTGATCCAGTTTTCCAGGGCTTTCTTCAAAGGCTTGCGAGTTTCATTAGGATTCTGTACCAGTGGCGCCTTGCTTTTGGCTCAAAGATTTAAATTATGCAAAGTTATACAAAAAAAAAAAAATTGCTGTGACTGCTCTACATTTTCAACCCCAAAACAGTATTGCCAACACTGCAGTTACTTGATAAGATATACAGTGTCATGTTCAGTGCATAATCTCCTTTTCTTTTTAGTGTTTGAAGAATTTTATCTTCAAATGTCAGTGGATGGTTGATTTATCCAGAGGGCGAACCTTAGCAAAGCCTTGAGCTCTGACACACACTAAAGCTCAAAGCTATTATCCACAAAAAGTGCTCACTAGACTACTTCATTTATTCAATGAATGACTAATATTATCAAAAGAAAAATAAGGCTGGGAATAATGTCACTGTCATTAGCAGTTTAGCTCATCATTAACTGTTATTGTGTTTTAATGTTGCAGGGAGTTTAACACCATTTGAGCTTCATTTTTCAGGCTTCGGCGCCATCGCTGATTTTATTTCAGACTAGCCGTGTAAAGCTTATCCACGTCTAAAAGATTTATTCATGGTAAAAAGCTTATCTTGCTTTCTCTGACCTCATGGCCTATTTTTGACTCCTTAGTCTCCCCCAAAGGGTGCAACCATCCCCTATCGACCAAGCCCCTCACCAGCTGCTCTCCTCATTGCAGGAAACCAGGTGAGAAAAGAAGATTTTACCTCACGCACTGATTAACTTCTCAAAAGATGGGATGAATCCACCTTTACAGATATAGTGGGTATACTGGGGGTTACACCAGGAGTTGAATTAGCAAAAGGTTAATCAATTTGTTTCTATGGGAACAGAAAACACATTTTCATGACTAGCAAGGTTGTCACAATGCAGGGTAGCAAGATTCAGTGCGACAGATCCTTTTATCCTCTCAGTTTAAAATACTAAAATGTCCTATTTAGTCTAAAACACTTGTGATATTTGAGGGGGAGGAACTGAGGGTCTAGAAGTACTGGACCAGATTAAAATGTGACCTGATGGTGAGAAACCAGACACAGTCTTCCATGATTCCTTGTAGATTAAATAATTGTTGTCAAGAAATTTTGCTATGAGAGAAAAATGTCATCACAGTGGTGCAAGAGGAAAATTCAAGTTACTAGGATGTGTGGAAAATGAACCAAAGTGGTGAACATCTGCTTTTATGACTGCTGATAAATACAATTTTTTAAATAAAGAATAGATAATTGGGGAAACACCCTTCAACCATATTACGAGTGTTGACGTTACATAGTTTATCCACCAGAGGCGACTCTGCAAGTTTGAAGCACCGCAAACAACCAGCAGCCCAGGCGAGTAAATAAATACGTACAGATAACAAATGTTAGGGAAATCTGTTTGTGTTGGATAAAAATATCAGATTTTTAAATCACCAGGTATCGCTATCGGTCTTGAAATTCCTATATCGGTAACCCTCATTAACCCTACCACAAAGAGAAACGCTATTTTTTTGGCACCTAGATGCTGGCTTCATTTGTTAATCTTAAAGGCTGCCACTCTCTCTGTGCCATTATAGTCTAAGAACAGCTGAATTAGCATTCAAGTCTGCGTTGCATGGAAATATATGATTGTTTAAAGCATAATGGTTATTGCAAAGTGTGTGGAGGAGGTGTTTCCATTCACTGCATTGCTCTTCACTTGGATGTCTTGGATCTCAGACAACCTTGGACGCTAACCCGGGTGTTGAAACAAGACTCATGCAGAGGGTCCTCAGTGGGGGATCAGTTCTTTTATGTGTGTGCATGAGGGTGGGATTGAGAAGTACTGTATATATGCTGCTGTTTGAGAAGGGACAGATATCCACCCTCCCATGGAGCGAGTCACAAGATTAGCAAGTGAGACTGGAGACCTGCCGTCTCCTCTGGCTACAGCAGCCAGATATTCTGCATAGCTGTCAGCAGTTCCTACACAGTTTGTGCAGCCACAGACTACGGTCAATTTATGGAATGGCTTTGTGTTTTTGATATTCTTCATAATAGGCTATCAAATTAAACCCGGGGCGTGATCCTGGTCGCTCGGAGATATCTTTAATGAAGGCAGTGCGGTGATAAGGGATGTTTGTATAATTTGTCAGAGGAGAAAATGAAGTGGAATGGGAAAGGGTCTGTGGATGAGTCATAGCCTATAAGCCTGTTAGGTGTGGCAAGGTGTCAGAAATGGAGCCTTGAGAGCCCATCTCAGGCCTAATTCTATAGCTAAAGCCAAAGGCAAAAAAAAGAAATGTGATTTTTTTTTTCTACTCATTATTTTCGCATCATATTTACCAGTAAAGGTTTCAGCTGGTAAGCACAGACACCCACGAGTCATCACTGTCAATTCAAAAACAATGGCAGAACTTGCAAAACATGAAATATTTGGGTAATAAGCTCCAGGACATATTTTTATTTTTTGCTCGTCTCCTTTTCTCTTGTGTTTTTGTAGGTGTTTGAGGCATCAGAATTTGCACCCCACCCTCTGTACTCAGTCGCACAGGGTGGCCTGGACCTCCAGCAGGTAACTGGGCAATAACACAAACAGAAAAAAAAATCTCTCCAGGATTCAAACACTGGTCTTGGATTCCAATGTGGAGCTCACAAATTAGTGTCAGGGCTGCGATGGTCTGCGTGGTGAGTGAGCAGAGGGGTTGTGTGGTATGCCCAGAGTTACACACTCCATCATATGGCATGAGGTATTAAAAACAACAGCTGAGTGTAAGCTGCAGCTATTGTTCTGGCCTGTCATAAGAGCTATAACCCCTCCTGAAACACGATACCATCACACACAGCACCACCACCACCTCCACCACAGCTCTGCCATCTCTTTTTTAGTCCTGCCTCTCTCTGCTCCAGAAACATTGCGGCTTTAGGAATATTTCTCCCATGACAGCAGGAGCTGATACTGTCATGTCAGAAAGGAAACAATAACCTTTGACAAAAAAGCCCTAGACTTAAACAAAATCTAACTGTGGCTCATGAAATATAAAGACTTCCCAATTGAAATGACTTGTGCTCTAGCTGGTAGGATTATTGCAGTGAATTTGTGGTTTGTGTATGCTTTCCTATATAAATAGAGCCTCCAATGTATTGATGCATTGTAAAGATGAGCTCGCCTCTCCAGTTTATGACCTTATAGGATGAACTGGTAATAGCAGCCAGACCGCTGGCGTCAGGCAGAATCGAGTTAAGCTAAGTGCTGTCTGGTCGAGCTGTAACTATACTGAGGGAGGGCTGCACAGCACCCCATAGATAGATAAATAGATGGATAGATGGATGAAAATGGGAAGAAGAAAGCTTTACACTCATATTAATGATCATATGCTATTATTTCAGTTGGTTAGGGTTAGAATGAGACAGCAAGTACAATGACTTTTACATTTAGTATTGTTAGGATTTCACAAAAAATATTTCTATAAGAAATACTTGGGTTTAGCTAATTGTCTAAAGGATCACTTCACACAAATCAAGTAAAATAATTATTTTAATTTTGACTTTCAGTGGTTATCTTCCATATATGTCTTCTTGCCCTGGTTTTAAGACATTTCAGGTTTCGGGTGCCTGTTATCACACTGCTGCAATGTAGAGAAAAGGAATCTTTGTGCAGTTTAAAGCAGTTAAACCGTTGCCTTTAACCCTAATCTTCTATTTGAGGTCCCAGAGCTCGAAAACACACTTAATTTTAAAAGCTTTCCTGACATGTCTCAGTAGTGTTGCTAAAAAAAAACTAAAAATAATGCCACACTTCTGTTTCTCAGAGAGCCCAGCTGTAAAATCTAGTTATAATGCAGATTTTGTTTAAAACTTTATTGGAGTTGACATGAGTGTTTACGGCGTAATCTTTCCTCAAAATTAAACTACTCTGTTTAAATTTCCTGTTATATGCAATCACTAGTTCATGAGACTTTGCTGGAGGTTTGCCAGCACGTCGGGATACTGTCGTTTTTTTTTGTCTGTAAATGGCTTTTTGGCAACCAGAGTAGATTACATTCTAGATTGCATTTGTTTAGAAATGTCCTCTCATAATGAGTAAAACATTCATGTGTATTCCTTTTTTGTTTATAATAATGCCCACTGGTCATTTTGTCCCTTTCACAAAATGTCCAAGCCAAGTTTGTGGAAATGAGAAGGTTCCACTTCAGTATTTTGCTTCATATACATTCAAAAGAGAGGGTGGAAAACTAGTTTTATTAGGAGAGCAGTGGAGACTGAAAAGGCCAAACAATGAAGAGGTAAAGGCAATCTCAGCTAGGTCCGAGGCTTTAGAAGTCTTGTATTTTTTAACTCTGTGTCAGTTTCTCACAATAGTCAACCACAATTTTTAATATAAATGTTTAAAACTGATGAAGTAGTCCTTGTGTAATCCTGTGGACTACCAAGAGTAAAGGTACACCGCCCATATAGATATGTCCTGATGAATGTTTTTTAAGTCATCTTAATGCACTGAGCACCACAAGTCAAATCCTGCTGGCCTCCTTAGTACTGGGATGCAGGTAGACGTCTCAAGAGTAGATATTTCTAAACGTGGGCAAACAAAACAAAAATCAGAAAGTCCCCAAAGGAAAGCACTGCACTGTCATCCACCAAGGTCAGTGGCTGGTATCCTACATTTAATGCTTCTTTGTTTGTTCATTCTTCACCATCTTTCAGGATCTTTGGCCGAGCATTTTTATGTGATTCCCTTGACAAACAGACAAATTATATTGCTCATGATGGATGCAGAGTGTTTGCATTGCTTGAATCAATACAAGTGAATTTAGTTTTTAGTTGGTTTTTTTTGGTAAAAGTGCAATCAGTTGATTCTCTTATTATCATTTCATTTTACTTATCAGAAAAAGGCACGCATTGACAGCGAAGCACTTCCATTAAGCGGCTGCAGGTTTATTGCTTGTGTGCGACGTTTTTATTGCTGTAATTTACCTAATGTACGATGCTCTTTTTCAGGCCTACACTTTGCAAAACCAATATGGCATTCCACACTCAGAGGTATGACCATTTGATGGATGTGTTAAAAATGTAATATTACATGAATGGTTTGTGGTTTTGTGTACAATCAAGTTCTTCCTCTTTGTTTTAAAGCTGGCCAAGCTACATCAGCTTTCAGTGCAGCAAGGCCTGAGTCCTATTGCCCAGCCTGCGTCAGCTGTCATACCCGGTGTGTATTGAAGGCATTTTAATCATTGCTTTCTTAATTTCAGATTGCTAACCTGTGTTTAGACATCAGAAATAAATGCCAGCTGTTTTTAATCTGCGCTGATTGTGAGCTTTTGTCAATCAGAAGCGAGGAGGGGGGGGGGGCTTTGTAGCTTTCTTGTATCTCCTAGTGTGAGAGAGAAACTATTAAGTGAAACGATATGTTGTGCGCAGTCAGAGAACTAGGGGAAAGAAAAGAATGAGTGCCGTGTTAAACATCAGCCCATTAAAATGGAAATTAAATGCTTTACTATATCTGGCAGTTTGCAGCTGAAAGGGTTTCTCCTCTATCTCAATGCTGTTTTTGTATGGCTCTGCTAACTAAAAGAGCCGAATGATATTTCAATTCAGTTGTATTCAGTTGATGCGTGTATTTTCTCTCTTATCAGGCATGGACTCAAACTCTCAGACGTCTCAGGAGCTGCTTATTCCCAATGATGTAAGGAAAAGCAAGTCGATCTTTGTGTTTTTGTTCTTTGTTGTTTATATTGTCCCATTTGAGCGACAGCAAAAACAACAGGAAGCCGACGCTCAGCTCACATGTACGCAGCACCGAAGCAGGTGACTGGCTGCGACTGCAAAGACATCTGGCGTGACTTCAAAAGAGACGAGAGACATGCTTACGACTTACTAATTATCCGCGTTATTTTAACCTCGGACTAACCCAAGGTTAAAGGGATTTTGAGCTGATATGGATCCTTTCGCATTATTGTCTGGGCTGCAGTTGCAATGTCTTAGAGGGACTCCCGTGAGTGTTCAGTAAATCCTCTCATGTTCCCTGACCTACTTAGAAGCTGTCTGCTGTCAAAACAGCCAATAAGGAAACAGACAAAGATCCTTTCCCTCTCCACTTAGCCTCCACCAGGGTTTGATGAAATGCCTCTCCAATCTGAGAGATGAAAATGCAAGACACACATTTATCTTTAAATTCACTATTAGTTTGGTCATTTTGGTCAGATGGCCTGCTCTGGGATATTTCTGTGTGTGTGTGTGTGTGTGTGTGTGTGAGTGTAGGTAGGTGGGTGGGTGGGGTGGGGTTGAAAGTTGAAATTGTAATGAGGTCATTTATAATTGAACATTTAATTATCCTGAAGCATGATTATTCACAATAATGAAAGGTTGCTCTTAAAATTCAACCATAAGGCTGGAGTTTAAATTTCTTTAAAAAAAAAAAAGATTCTGATGAAGTGACTGAAGCAGGAATAAAACAGTCTTTGGACCATAGAGTAATAAAAGCTACTGAGTATTTAACCACATGGCGGTGTCGAAATACTCCTCTAGGTGTGTGTTTTGGCAATAAAAAAGGGAATAAAAATAACTTTAACTCTGCTGTCTTTGTTGAAAACAAGAAAAAAGGAAGAACTGGACTGGTTACTCAAGGGTTCGCTTAACTGTATAGGATATAGCCACATCCCTGAAACAACATTTCTAAAATGCCTGAAAGCATTTCTTCCCCCATGTAAACCCCCCGCATGGCGAGCAGCACAATGCATCAGAGGTATGAGGGAGTCCAGTGCTATACGTGACAGGGACAGCTGTAAGCTCCAACCATTGTTCCAGAAGAGAGGACTTACAGCTATGACTGAGCCTCTTCAGCCCGGGCCGGCCACACTCCGGCCTCACAATCCTGCTCTGTGCTCGCACACTGAACGCCGAAGGAGAGTTGCACGCACACACAGATGTATTCAGAAACTGCTTACACACAGTCAGCAGTATACTGTAGTTCTGCGGTGGAAGGAAGATTTAGCCAGAAGAAAAATGGCTGCACCTTTGCCATCCCATCCCTCTTCTTGTGTCCTTTCAAACGACTGCCTCAGCAGTAAGCCAACAAAATATAGGCCACTTACAAGTGAGGACGACGAGCATTGTGTAACATTACTGTTTATTAAAATAACAGCTTTTAAAAAAGCCCAAAAGTTTAATTATCCGATTTTTTTTTTTGTTCTTTTTTTTCCACTTTGTTCACACAAAGATGTGTGTGGGCGAGCTGGTGTAAAAGGCCCATTTTATTCTCAGTGGGGTAGAGATGTTATTTGTGATTTGAGCTCTGTAGGGAGCATTGTTTCTAGAGTTGCTCTCTAGGCTGGCCACTCTCTGTGTATCTCTCCCCTTCTAAATAAACTGCGGAGCCAATAATAGCCAAGCAGAGCAACCAGGTCGCTGTGACAGATCAGACATTGTGGAACAGGCTGCTTACTTCTCAGGAAAGGAATGTAAAATGGAGGGAGGACATTGTGTTAGTGTGTGTGTGCGCACGTGTGTGTTGTGTACTTCTGCCTATACGTCAGCCACTGTTAAACTTCCTGCACACTCACTTACTACAAGTACTTCATCACTGTCTGGCCCACTCGCAATATATTTGGCAGCATAACCCTGTCGCCTGAGCCTTGACACCCTGCACTTGAGCTGTTGCCCCGAGCTTTGGCTCTGCTGAATATTGTCACTAATGGCCAAGGGTGCAGGTAATGAAAGCAAAACAAAAGTGATAATGTATTTTGGAATGCAATAAAACTCGTGTCATTGTCTAATCTGCTCTCAGCAGAGAGAACACTCAAGCCAATGGGACTGTATATTATATATTTGAGTTATTTTCCCATTATGTTTTCCATTAGTGCAGAGATGCATCTAGCTGGCGTGTGTTTGGGAAGTGATTTGTTTGGGAAGTCATCACCACTCTGAGGAATCAATAACCTTTTAGCCACTCAGATTAATGAGAGGCAAATGTGCCTTCTCTCGTCTCTTTTACCGGTGCGCACACAGTAGCAATTAAGGGAGACCCGCCAGAGGAGTTGGGGGGGGGGAGGTTTGACATGCATGATGAATGACCAATCCAGTGAAGACAAACAATGTAATTGCAATATTTGAAGTGGGCTGCATTAAGTCAGCTCAACAGCAGTGCAGTTTTCGTAGTGTTCCCTCTCCTTTGCCCCCTTTGTCAAAATCACTTTGATCAGCACAACAGAGCCGACAGTGGGAAAACGCTGCGTTCAGTCAAATGATTTATTAAACCCCCCAGATTCTGTATATCTACGTAGTAATTAATTTTTCCATCAAACTGACCTGATCTGTCTCGACTCTGTCCTCCCGCAGCTGATTGGCTCGATCATTGGTCGTCAGGGCACTAAGATCAACGAGATCAGGCAGGTGTCAGGAGCTCAGATTAAAATCGGGAGCCAGCTGGACGGGACAAGCGATCGCCATGTCACTATCACAGGAACACCAGTGAGCATCAACCTGGCCCAGTACCTCATTACCTCCTGGTAAGGCCCAGTGACACACACAGCAATCTAATGAATCATTGCAAGCACAGGCCTGACAGAAAAGCACCGACTTAAAAGGGTCAAAGGCCGTGCTATAAGTGATAATGAGGTGCTGCTGGTATGAAGAATGAGTAAGAGCAGGTCTGTGTTGTGTGCTGGATAGTAATGTCTTGTTGGAATTCAGGCATTGCTATGCTCTGACATGTTTTTTTTAATTAGCTTTTCTTCTATATAAGACCATAAGGAAGGAAATTAATCTGCATTAAATATAGTTATCAGTTCTTGCTTTTAACAATTAAAAAAAAAAAATTCTGCTTCTAAAAGAGGAAAAAGTACAAAAACATTCCCACTTTAACCCTTGTGACTGATTCAGATCAGCTTTGCCTCATTATTTTTTGGTGTTCCTCAAACCGCATTTCTTTCTGTGTAAAACATATGCTAGCAGTGACAAAAAGGTGTCAACAATGATAAAAAAAAAAAATGTTTATATACAGTATGTACTCGAGTGCACCTGATAGCCAACTACAATACATAGAGGGAGTCAAGTGACAGGTAGCCAGGAGATTTTTCTGGATACCAGTAACAGCAGCAAAAAAATATTCCAGCAAAGTTGAACAAGTGTTGAAGAAAATGTGTGTACTGATGATCGTACTCCCTTATGTTTGTCACGTCATAAACAAATACTATATTGAGGGTGAGATATTAAAGAATACTGCTAACAGCTACTGCAGCAATAAAGTGGATCACAGTGAAGTCGCTCAAACCTGTAAAACAACTAGTTCAAAAAGTTATGCGAGACAAATCAAATGGAACACATGATACACTCCCTGACAAAGATTTTTTTATCAAATGGTGGAGGCCGCCTTATAGACCTGCAATATTAACATCTTCATTCATCCATTTCCTTCCACTTCATGGTCACAGGAGCTTGGAGCCTTCCCCAGCTGACATAGGGCAAGAGGCAGGGTTTTAAGAGGGCAGTGGGTATTTCCAACACTTGGTTTTCATGCCCTCTGATTCTTCTTATTTTCACATTTGCGTTCTTTAACCTCTAACGGACGCTGACTTAAAAGGCATCACTTCCAGTAAATCTGTTATAATGTAACGTAGCTCCCTCTGGAGCCACATAAAGCTTTTCTTTTTTTCCACACATGCATTAATGCTCTCCAAGACCTGCAAACAAACTGCAATAAGTAACTTTGGTGGAGTTCCCCTTTAATGATTTTCCAGAAACTTCCCCCAGTGTTGCAGCAACAGAATAATCCTCTAATCTTCCTTCCCTGTTCTATCTCCACGACTCCCTTTTCTTTTCTTTTTTTTCCTATCATAGTTTAGAGACAGCCAAATCTACAGCCCAGGCAGCCAGCATGGGAAGTCCAGTTGACCTCAACATGGCCTTCACCCAGCCAGCCTCCCCAGCTGCTTCTCCTGCACCCACCCTGGCTGCCGTGAGCACCCTGACCCCAGCTCATGTTCTGGGAACTCCGTACGGTGCCATGCCCCTCTCCGGGCTGCTGGGGGTGAAGTCCGTCCCCTTTCTGACTTTGTCCAGCCCGGCCCCAGCCGTAGCCGTCACTGCAGCACCCTCCCACACCACTCTGGCTGCCTACACAGCCAAAATCTCCTCAGCCAACTGCATCAAAAAGCCAGAGAGACAGAAGTTCGCTCCCTACTGATGAAGCCTCTGAGCACCATGCGCAGAGTCAGATGAAGGACAGCTGCAGTGTTCTTTCACAAACCCCTGATGTAGCCATATCCGCTGGCAGAGATGCTCTTGCCTTTTATTCTATGACACACCAACAGAGACGAGACCAATGGAGATGTGGATAAAGCTATTAAAAGTTATTTACGACTATAGATAATTTGTGAGTTACCCATGAATTGATGGACAGCTTTCATTGTCACCTCATCACTGTTATTGATCACAAAAAAACAATTAAAAAAAAAAAAGGGCTGAGGTCTCACCTGAGACACACATGTTTACCAGTGTTTACATGTGTGTCTCAAGTTAGAGATCAGCTAAGTATTTATCCTCAATAAATTTGTAAATTATACTCAGATGACAGATGCTCTACTGTATGATGCTTTTATACAATGTCTACGTTTGCCTCTTGAAGTTTTTAAGAAAATTTGTAAATGTCTGGGGGGTGTTTTGTTTTTGTTTTTTTTGTTTTTTTAAATAATCCGTGCTATATTACTGTACTTTACGTTGTTCAGTGTTATGTCTTTTTTGTTGGAATTTATTTTGAATGTGCAACTTGGTTAATCTTTATTTATTAGTATTGTTTCATTTATTAAAAGTCTTTGGTTCCTGTTAATGGTGGCTTTATCTATTTGCTTCACAGGCATTCAAAGAGCAATGATGCAGCTTTGCAGAAACTCATTTTCAGGAGGAAACAGTACACACACACAAAAAAAACAAGACAACGCCACATTTAGGTTATTCCTGTTTTCTCTCAAATAACAACAAGATGGGAGGTTCTCATTTTAGCTGCAAGAACTGATGAGAGATTCGTTTCACACTATTGTGCTCATGTGCCCCAAAACAATAACTGCAGAATGAGACGGTGCAACCTCAGAGGAGAAAAGGGCTCTGCTGGCATGATGGGCAATGTGCTCACATGTAAGTGTGCATGTATAAAAACACACGATCACATGGCGTTCTGTGCAGAGAAAATGCGCTCTGTAAGTCCCTTGAGACAAAGTGTAGAGAGACTGTAAGACAGAGGGGTTTGTGTGGGGGAAAAAAGGGGCACTAACATAGCTAGGAGCTAGAAAAGATCTGAGGATTCACAGCGATGCTGTGGAAAAAAAAAATCTGTATCTGCATCAGCATGCACCACAGCATCATCATCCTCAGGAGAGGCAGCTAGAATCCTTTCATCCTAACTATTTCTGTTTTTTTTTTTTTTCTGTCACTGCATCATGGATATGCGAGACACTATGAATGCGCAGTCCTCACTGTTACCGAACACATTCACTTTTCAGAGGCAAACAAAAAAAAGAACCAGTGCCTCAGTTTCATAGACTTTCTGCTGAAGTCCAGCAAACAGTGAAGCTAAATTATGACACAAAGAAAACTTGATCTTTGAGGTCCTTGAATTTCTCTTCTGTCTCTATGGTAACATCACTTGTGAGTCTATATATTATTCTTTCTAGGACCTCCTAAAATCCAAGTACATGCCAAGATATAATGCTTGTAAAATCACCTTCAAATGACAAATCAGAGCACCTTTTTCAGCAGTAACTCAAAAAAACTATTTTCTGTATGATCAGTCTCTGACATGATTATAGAGGAATTTTGGGCCACTCTTCTTTGCTTCAGTTCAATGGGGTTTGCAGGCATTCGTGTAGGCACAGCTCTCTTGAGGGCCCACCACCTCATTTCAGGCAGGTTGACTTTGACAGGGCCATTACAACACTTTCTTTTCTTTTCCAGCTGTTCTGTTTGTTCTTATACTTGAAATCTTTGTCTCTTACATGACCCAGTATTGGGTTTTAGCTGTCTGACAGATGACCCACCATTTGACTCCAGAATACTTTAAGTACGGAGGAGTTTGTGGTCAGCGCAACAACAGCCAGGTGTCCAGCTCCTGTTCTAAGCCCAGAAGATCATCACTTCACCACCATGCTTGACAGCTTGTATGAGGTGTTTGTGTTGATGTGCAGTATTTGTTTTTCACCAAATATGGTGCTGTCCTTTGTGGTCAAACACGTCAACTTTAGCCTCTGACTGCAGTCTATTTCTAACTAACCCATTCCCTTTGACCCTTAGTATACTATAAAAACCTATCATGTGATTATGTTACAGTTTTATAGCATTTATAGTCTGAAGCAGATCAAAGTCCATAGTATTTAAAGGTTTGCCAATAGCTTACTGGGAAATATGCTTTCTTTACACGAACAGATAAACTCCACTGATATTCCAGCTCCATTACCACACACCAGATACGTTGCATTAGAATATCAAAGCATGAAGTTTGAGCTGGTGACAGCTGGGACCCTAGCTGTCACTTAGCTGTCACATTTTCTTTTTACTTCTTCTTCTTTCAGTTGTGGTGGACTCGGGGGATGTGTGGCATGCTGTTATCTATGCACAGACACTCGCAAAACTGAAAATAGCACAAATATCTGCATTCTTACCACTGTAGCGCTCAGCCTCGGTAATTCAGTGACAAACAGCACCCTCCACTGTCGACTCAATATACTGCGTGACCCTTCACGGTACAGAAAAAGGTAGCGAGGAAGAGTTAGAGCTGATAAAAGATTGTCTTTAATGTTTGGCATTGTTAATGAATTCCATACCACAGCAGTTATGGGAGTAGGAAAACCACTTTTACAACCAAACACTGTTTGATCATGCTAACACCATATGTACAGGAAAGCACATTGAAAAGTGTATAAAGTATTTATATGAGAGGACTCAAGTCAAGAACGGTGGAGACAGCCACAGTCTAATGGATTCGTCCTTTTCCAAACACTGATTATAGATATTTATCAATTACATTGATCTCTGGAGTACATGTATATACACAAAACAACAATAAACCTTTTGGGGGTTTCTGCAATAATTCTCAAAAATATTTCACAATACTGCTGTATGTACAATAACAGAATTTACATTGAAAAATTCTATTGTACCTATATTTTGAGTATCACTTCAGTCACCAGTTATCCTCAACGCCATCAAGCTCACAAGAGATACTCACGTGCCGTTACAGATCTAATGACGTCATGTTCAACTCCATACAAAGTACAGCAGCCTATTCAGTGCCTTCTGTCTCGGTACGGTTTCTGAAATATGTTCACACAACTGATGATCTCACATACAAAAATAGATGTTGTCTAGTCAGCTGACAACTTGATGTACAGTAACACAAAGCATCCACCTGCAAAAAACAACCAGGAAAACAAGTAATTGTTAAAATATTAGCTATATCCTTCCAACCCCCACGGGACGATAAAGAGCGCTGTTCCTTCTGCCCCACAGTAAAAGTAAACCCTTCTGCCAGTCCGGGCTTCAGCATTCTTGTGTAACATGTCATCAGTTTTGAAACAACAGAAGGTAATTGAGAAAGAGCCGCAGGCAGAATAAGAAATATTAGCGCTACAAACCAAACAACAATCTGAAACCAAAGCGGGACAAAACCATACAAAAACATCACTAGGTAGATATCTTCTTTTTTTCTATTTTTTTTTTTCCTTCAGGGAGTTTACGGTGAAGAAAGTGAAAAGGAGAATGGCTGTTACTACATGAGCTCCCCACAGTCCGGATGAGAGGTCAAACTGCATTTGAGTGCACTTAAGGCAGGTAGGCGATTCCAATGCTGTCTGTGTGGGCTCCTCGACCGGTCACTGAGCAGTTGGGGCGGATGGGTGGGGGGGCGTGTGGGCTCGACAGGTTGTCGTCAGGCGCAACAAAAATTGCCACTGCAGCTGTCCAGGTTCAGCCCTCACTACTCAACATGGTCTGACAACCATACACAGAGAAGGGAAATGACGGCGAGAGAGTGGTGTTGGTGTTAGTTTGGAGTCCAGCAGGTGTGAAGTGGACAGTTCTTCATTCTCCGTGAACATGAAAGCTGACAGGTGTGGGGCCTGTCTGTCAACTGTCCTCAGTTTGCCTTCAGTCTGCCAAACACCTTCATTCCTCTCGAGATATCTTTGTCACACAGAAGAGACAAATAGAGACGTCTTCAACAAAGACTCAACTTAAAGCACTTAAACATTAACCAGGACTGCAGCTGGTGCAATACAAGTAGGAACATCTCATCTGAATACATTCACGTGGGTTTCCATACACATGGTACGGATGGGAAATCATCAGTGACTTAAGTTCGTGTCCCTTGAGATGCTGGTCCAAGTGGAGAGCTGCAAGTACACCAGCGATTTGCGACAGCCCAGCAGCAACACATATTACAGTGCGCATTTGATATGATTCACTATTAAGGAGCACTTAACAGTGTTTTGAAAAAACATAATGGACGTAAGCCTTTGAAAACACTATAATGTAGCAAATTTATCAAAATAAGAATTCATATATATGAAGCATTTAAAGCAGAGAAGTCACCTCGCTGTGACTAATAACCTTCTGTAGTTTCCTCGTGTTGTGAAATGACATAAAAAGCAAAATTAAGGGAGTTCACAGCTTATACTGCACCTGGGATCATGTTGGTTATGATCGTGGTCGTCATGTTTCACAAAACCGTTTTCATATTATTCTCAAGTGGAAAAAAAAACATGCTCACAGACGAGTTGTACAATTGTGTACAATCAATATCAATTTTTGAACAGAAGTTAATTGATCCCATTGTTCAAGAGATATTTTTCTTTTAATTCTAAGAGGCCACGCGAAGCAGCGGCAGCAGTTGTGCCTCAAACCGTTGCTTCAACCGTCTTCGCTCCTTCGTTCCTTTCCTTCATGTGCACTGAAGTTAAACCGCAGAACATGACAATCGAGCATGCTCCATTGCGTCACATTAGACTTGTTCTACTACTGCTTCCTTTTACTCAGTGCAAATGAAGGGAAGAAGAAAAGGAGAAGAAAGCTCTAACGTAAACTGAGCTGGAGTTTCAGATCACTGTGTCTCCTCGTGCTCCTCGCTGATGCACTGCTCCCAGGCATGTTTGCCCTGGTCCTCTCTGTGGCCATGAGGGGAATGGAAGATCCTGCGGGGGAGCGGGATGGGTTGAGGTGGCAGGTCCTCCTCAGGAATGCAGCCCTCTCTCAAGTAGGGTTTGGGGGGCACAGCTGGAGGCTGAGGTCTGCGGTAAGGGATGTGATGAGGGCCATGAGTTGGGGCGTGGTGGTGAGTTGGTGGCCCATGTGAGTGGCTGTCCAGCCCTGGGTGGGCATGAGCGTGAGGGTGCGGGTGGTTGTGCGGGTGTGACGCAGGGCTGCGGTAGTGGAAAGGGCGAACCGGGTCCATGGAGTCGATTTCTCCTCCGCCGTAGTGGATGTGCATGTAGGGAGACGCCATGTACTCGTCAGGTGGGGACCACAGGTGACTTGGAAGAGGCTCCAAGGCATCGTTCCTGATGGGTCCAGGATCAGGATACTGACCCCCGAAGTTACTCTCACTCAGGGAGGAGACACCGCTGCTGGCGCTGCCTGATAGAGTGGAGTTACTGCCTCCCAAAGCAGACTGAGGACTGGTAGGAGAGCCAGGGATTGGGTGGAGAGGAGACTAGAGAAAGAGAAAGAGAGAGGATGTCATGAGTGTATTTTTTTTAAAGTAATGTTGTTAACAATCCTCCTTAAATGTCA